GCGTGCGTGCGTGCGTGCGTGCGTGCGTGCGTGCGTGCGTGCGTGCGAGCGTGCGTTCGTGCGTGCGTGCGTGCGTGCGTGCGTGCGTACGTGCGTGCGTGCAACATCGGTAATAAGTTTTTCGATTTCAGAATAGTCAAGTTTTCACAGCCAATCTATGTTATAATTGGTTTATGATCATATTTGCGAAGTTTATAAATATGTACTGATAAATTTAATTTGTTGTACAAATATTGAAAATTTGGGATGGTTCAAAACAGTTTCAGATACGCTATCTATAGCTTATGTGACGCACTTTAGCCCATAAAGGCCAATACGTGCCTCTGCGCCTCTACTCATGACGTCACGCCAAGTAGCCCTACTATCAACTACCTACTGTCCTACCTACCTACTATCCTGCTGTCCGTGTTTTTGAATGAAGATTTTAAACTAAATCTTAAATAGAGACACACACCTTATTTGCTTCACCTTATCAGAACCATACTTCACTAAAATTTAACAATTAATGATGAAAAACAGAAAGCATATTATGGAATTGAGTTTTTTATTCGTTAAGTTGACATTTGACAAGAAACTTTTTACTATAAGTGGAATTGAGCTGTATGTAAATTTAAAGCGTGAAACTGAGCGTGCTGTTAACTGTTTCTACTGCAAACGTTAACATACCTGGCACCATATTAGGTCATCCTTTACCAGTAACAATTTTAGGGTCGATTTGAGATCATGTAAGCACTCATATAACTATTTTCCCATAAATAAGTTTTACGAACCCGTCCAATACTTGCGGTACGCCTGTCAACCGCAAGTAATGAGGTAATGGGAGGGTTCTACCTGATCTGGAGCATGGAATATAAGGTATGCCGCAATCTAGTTAGGAGTTGGCAAGAAACTACAGAGACCGTGTAAACCTCGATTGCCTAAACAACGTCGTTTGCAATTAACTCGTTCTACGCAATAAACATTTGGCACGTTTCTTGCTTCCAACAGGTATCAGTTTGTAGGGTGTGTTTAACTATTTTACAGCAGGCATTTATATATCTTTTTTTAATATTTTTTTTATAACGCACACACTCATAACCCCGCACTAGGGAAATCCTGTATCGCGGGTGCTATGGACACACTCACAGACAACCACAAATTACACCCAAACTCACGAGAGAAATAAACGTAGTCCCTACAAGTATTTCTCCGGAGAATCGAACCTGGGACTGCGTGGCAGTCCAGCATGATAACCGTTCGGCCACGGAGGCAATTATCAAGGCAAGAGTATATCGGATGAAGACGTATGAGAAACGTTGAGAGAAACACCCAGTTTAGTAGCAGTAGAGCTCCTTGTGAAAGAGTTCATCAAGTAAGTACTACCACCTTACCTATTTCTGCCGCCAAGCAGCAATGTTAACATTACTGCCTGTAATTTACAGGCAGAAACCTTCCGGTTTGTGAAATTAAAGGTGAAATTACAGGCACATGGGACTTTTCAACTTATGTCTCAGTGTGATGGGCGTAGAGGCAGTGCACCTCAGATCCTTGCGATTTAAAGCTCTGAGTGGCACTGCAACTGTTATGGAGAGGCGTGTCGTTTACCATCAGGCGTACGACTTGTTCGTCCCATCACTTAGTACTTTAAACTTTTTTTACTATTATTATTTTTTACTATTATTTACTAGGAAACGTGAAGTATGTAATGTTTTAACTAGATATCCAAACCGCATAGCTTGCCCCTCCCATAAGACTACTTGCTTTTATAGGAATTGCTATAACATGTCCATACAAATATATAATGCTTTGCCTGCAGCTATCGCAGATTTACCTATAAAATATATTTTTTAAGTTATTTGATCTGGTATGTGATCTGTGTTTATACAATATCAAAGATTTTTTAATAATAAAAAGAAATTGACATTTTATTTGTATTTGACATTTTGTTTATATTTGTGCTGTTCTTACTTCTTTGATATTGTTTAATTTATGATTTTATTGATGTTGCTATTTCTTGGCATTTTTACTTAATTTTATATTACATTGCTTGTTTGACAAATTGTATAATTTTAATTTATGACATTATTTAACTTCAATTTATTTTAATATTTGCGTGCCAGTATCTGGTGCAACACGTGTTCTTGGCACCTTGTATAATAATATCTTTTCTTACCGTGTTTGCTTGCGAATAAATAAATATTTCATATTTCATTATTTCATAAAAAACCCTCATCGCTGATTTTGTCAGGCAAATAATAAATAAAAAAATAAAAAATAAAAAGAAATGGCAAATTCACTTTACAATATCAATTCGTTAAACCAACGCGCGATGGTGAATAATATGGTCAGTCGACTGACAGCCGTACAAAAGATAGGTCAGGTTAAAACGGATTTAAAATATCACGCATCAGTTTGCATGGTTTGCCGCGCACGGATATCTATTTTTTTAAGTATCCCACAAAAAGTACTATTAGTCAAAAATGCGCGCTTGTTTATAAAGTCTTGACCATAAACCTCTTTATTTACTAAGCTGAACAGGTCCCATGGTCACGGAATCTGTAAAGGCCCAAAACGTTGGTTTGTTTCAAAAACAAATATACGCGAAAAAATAGTTTCTTTTGCTATAAAGTCTACGGGTTTAAAAGTTTTTCTAAACGATTTTGTAAGCTTCAAACTAAAAACGTAAAAGTCCTTTGTTACGCACGCTTATTTAATAAAATAAGGTTAGCATTATATTTTTATACTGTATATTACGTGCTTGCTGAATGTATTCTCTCGTATGGTCTAAGTAATTATGGGCGTACACTTACGTCTTATCTACAACAAATTAAGCAACTACAAATAAAGTAATCGAAGTTGTTAGTGGATATAAATGCTACTTGGTTTGCACAGCACTGATTTTCAGCCAGAACCTCCCTAGCAGGAGCTACGGTCTCACTTTTATGTGTGTTTATATCTCTTCTATGTCTTCGTCAACACAATGTTACCCACAACTTGAAAGATTTAATCGGAACAATAAATTACTGTATACTATGGTAAACATTGTTTGAAACACGACATGTTGCTAACAATTCGCTCCATTTATGCTCGCGTGACAACTTTTGCTTTAGTTTAGTGGCCGTGCTTCTATTTCCTCGATAATTGAAGTCCACATAATTGTTAGGAAAAGCAAGCGACCTAACTTTTGATGCGGAGTTGCCAGAGAGCCACATCAACTGCCTGGTTTTAAACTAGGGAATTCCCCGTACTATGACTACCAGGGCAACGGAATTCACTCTGGGGAACTTCCCAGAAAAGTCAATTTAGAAAAGTTCATTTCCTAAATTGATCTTGCCGGGAGTCGAACCCGAGATCTTCTCATCCAGTGGCCACAATGAAAACCGTCGTTGGGCCACCGAAATCGTCGTTATATGCGATTTAGACCCGAAAAATTAGTTTCCTTATTTTATTTTCATTAGATTTTAATCAGATCTCACACACTCAGATCTAAAACTGCGAAATACACATCATTAGAAACTGTTTCTAAATGTGTGAGTAATAGGCTTATTAAAAAAAAAGGAAAGTATGTATTTAAGGCGATCTCTCACGGTCTGTGATTTTTCCGATCACCTCACACGAGCTCGAACCCATAGACTAATTTATAATCATGGAGACTCGCACCTGCGCACCTATATCTATGTACGCACCATAGGGAGAGGCACATCCGCGATAACGCGGTTGCGTCCGTAGTGAGGCAACGAGTTGTCTCTCTGTAATTGGTTAATTATTAGCTGGTGTGTGCCTGGCCGTGCTCACCGGCAGTGCCAGAAATTCTCTAATATGACAGACCATAAGAGACCGACTTTACATCGCCATCACAATTCCGAATTGCGTTACTCCAACTGTCAAATTATGCATTATGTACCCATATGTCTACCAGGGATGTTTTTATTAAATATAACTCATAAAATTCCACAACGATTTAGCTAAGCAGATTGTATATTTTCATGCAGATTGATTCATGTGTTAATAAATATCACAAAATTATTGAAATACTATTTTATTACAATACCAAAGAAATTAGAAAGCTCATGTAGATAGATTCATTAAGGTGTACATTTTTTTAAATAAATAAAATTAGCATACACTGATGTAAAAAAAAACTGCATCAGCAGCAACCCTACCTATACAAAAATACATAAGCAACAAAATTGTTACATAATACCTCGCAACCGTGATTTGTTCCAAAGAATTTCAATTTGTGGGAATCAAGCCATTGAAAAGCAGGGTAAAGACCTTGGTTTATTAAAATGTGATCTAAAAAGCAATTTTGAAGCAATAACTCAATCAATCGTAATGAAACCTTTGAGTTTGAATGTTATTTAACATTTTTTGATCGTCTTTGTACGAATGATGTCGCTTTGAATTTATTATACAGGGTGTAAATTTGAGAAGGGGCAGAAAGTCCAACCTTAATCGTTGTAGTTACAGGAATACGGTTCTAGAAGACTATTGAATTTGAATGAAATGAAGATATTTTGATTTGCATTCACAGATTTTGAAAAAATGGTACAGTCAGCAAAATAAATGACAATTAAAAAAAAAATTATGCCATTCGATCCGGTTTCTGGTAAAGATCAATAGTCTCTATGAGACCAACTGTGGTAAGAGTACTCGAAATGTCAGAAATCGCAAAAAACTTCTTACCATACATTTTGTAGGGACATATTTAATAATCAGTTATTCTAGGTAGTTAAGGAAACTATCAAATTGACAACGTATTATGTATTTCAAAATAAAAACAATAACAAAAAGGAAAATAACATAAAAAAATTATGATAGTAAGTGCTCGAATTGATTGCCGCCTTGACAGATGCATCGATTCGCTCTCTTCCGCAAAGAGCAAGTAGCGGCTGAAATTTTACTCGGATGGATTCCATTGAAAATTGCTGCAAGTGCGTCTTTCAATTATTGAACACTGTTGTATTTTTTTATAAATTTCATTTTTTACATAGACCCAAAGAAAGGGGCGTCAGTTCAGTACTGCGCGGTGGCCATTTGATAGGACCATGTGTTCCAATTCATTTGTTTACAAATTCGAAAACATTTTGATTAAAAATCGTAATAAAAGTGACAATTCTCTATTAACAAAACAAAACAAAGCTGTTCCAAATTTAAACATAATGATATGATTAAAATTTGGTTTAACTTAATTGTTATTTGTAGAGTAGTGGCCAGTTTCTTTTCTAACAAAAAGTTTTCATTGAAAATGTGTGGTAAAAAGGTTTTTGCGATTTCTGACATATCGAGTACTCTTACCTCCTTAGACTATGGAAACCAAAGCTTATCTCAGTTTGTACCATAGAGATTATTGATCCTTACCAGAGACCGGATCGAGTGGCATAAAAAAAGTTTTGTAAAAATTGCCTTTTATTTTGCTCTACCAGTTTTTTCAAAATCTATAAATGCCAATCAAAATATCGTCAAAATTCATGGATAGTCTTTTAGAACCGTTTTCCAGTAACTACAACGATTAAGGTAAGTGGCCTTGCTGCCCCGTCTCAAATTTACACCCTGTATATGTATATATTTTTTTTATAATACCAATTGCAGGGACGGATAAGTCGTGCGCCTGGGGGTAAGCGACACGCCTATCCATAACAGTTGCAGTGCCACTCAGAGCTTTAAATCGCAAATATCTTAGAGGCATTACCACTACGCCCATCATCCTGAGACGTAAATTGACAAGGTGCCTGTAATTTCACCAGCTCCCTTACCCATCCAAATTGGAACCCAGTAATGCTCAGCACTGCTTGGCGGCAGAAATAAGTAAGGTGGCAGTACTTCTCTGGACGTACTCTTCCACAAGGAGCTCTACAGCTACTAAAATTATTCGGTAAAATTGTAGATGTCTTATCGTATACAACAACTATGTAATTATAATAAAGTGTTAGACAAGCACTTGAATAACGCGATCTCAAACTTATAAATTCCTTGTACTACGAGTACCAGATTAATAAAGAGGGTAGAACCAAATTTAAAAAAGTACACTCCTCAAATTGTTTCTGCCGGGAATCGAACCTGTGACACGTATAACGCCCATAATTTGTGGGGGTGGAGAGCTAGAAGGTCGAAAGGCATGCAATCAAAGAATGGGGAATGATAAAATATAACAATAAATTTAGACCAAAAGAACCTGAGAGTGTTATTATGTAGGTCAGTCGAGTGGGTTGCACGGAGTTGCGGGCCTCCGCCCTCCAAGCTTGAAGACCGAGGGCAGAAGTGCAGAAACAGAGCGCAGCGGGTTCGGCACGGAGGCGGAGAATGGAGAGGCTCTCGCAGAAACAACGGTGGTTATACAGCACTGACTTCGGAGAGCCGGAGAGTTGCACTAACAGTAGCGGCCACCCAGCACTGGCTTCAGTTGTTCCTGGGGCGAGGCTGAGCCCGTAGTCAGGGGCTCCACACTCGGAGGGCGAAAGGCTCAGTCTAGGCAGGCAGAACGCTATGGTGAAGAGCTGGTTTAGGTTAACGAGAACCTTGGACGTCAGCTCAGGCAGACGCGTAAGTGCGGCAGGAGTCACTCCAGGCTTAAAAAATATGAGGCTTCATATACTTCGTCCTGAAGACCAGATAGCTCGACGGTCGGTATAGGAATGATGAGCGAATGGTAGAGCGAGAAAGTGCATCGAAATTCGGATAGTCCATTTTGAATTTGAAATGAGCAGCCACAGTGAAAACAGCCAGGAGCGGAAATGCTTCTACTGCTAAGATTGCATATCAAAAGAAGAGTAATTTATAGGATAATGGAAGAATAGATTGTAGAGGGGTAACATATCTGTCAATCAATGTCAACATATAAAAATATTAAATCCGAAACAAATATGTTTCAAAATGAAATTTATGAAATAGTAGGTATTTAGAATTGGAGATTCGAATAGCAAAATTCGGAGATACTATCAGTACGCTAGATATGCCAAGGTCGGGAGATCAAACATGAAAAGTGAGTAAATTGTCAAACTGCGAGAAATAGCTTACAATAGAAAATTGAAGTAATTTAGACAGTAATATAATTATTAGTTGGGACTCTTTCAGGAATCAGGAAAAGCAAGGGCGTTTCCTAGAAAACGTATAATGAGAGAAATGACTTTGGTAGGAATCCACACTACAAGTTCTAACTGCCAGATCGCGCAAAATTAGTAATTTCGCACGACTCAAGGAAGAATGGCATAACTGAAGTTACGTCAAAAATGTTTATTGCTCCATTGGATACAAAAAAATATAACCCACATCCTGTTCAATTCTTGTAACTTTATCGACAACATTAGTCGATAGAGTTAGAAGAATTGGACAGGCTACACATTTTTGACGTAACTTCACTTACGTCATTCGTCCATGAGGGGTGCGATTTGCATATCACTGACACCTGTGCCCAAGCTCAATACCAGGATCTTTGCTAAGTAGGTAGTACATTTATAGGGTTGCGTTAATCAGTCTGCTTTTGTCTTTTCAAATTTGCATTGATTGCTTTTTCTGTAAGGTAAATATTCGCTAGGGCAAAATCTACGTTTCATATGATTTATCGATCCATAGCAACGGTGATATTATTTCACATTATCTCGGATATTGAAAACTTTATTAACTGTATAAGAACAGATACTACAATATCAATAGGCAGCAAAGTTGTATGGTGATTGACGACCGATGGGAAGTCTACAAAACGGTTTATTACAGGGTTAATGATACACTGATTCCTGTTTACGATATTCACTTTTGTCCATTATTTTTAGTTGTAGCCGATACTATAAATAGGTCCTATGGCTATTTTGGTCGTTAAGGGTTAATAACGTATCAGATTTATGTGAAGATTTTATTACTATGAGTACTACTAGATATATGTATATAATACGAAGGGGAAAACGGTATACAAGTAGCGTAAAACAATGTTTAGGTAAATTCATGAAACTTGAAGTGATAATTATGTATCTATTCCATGCTTCAATTCCGGTTTTTTTCTCCTTCACTGTTCATGCGGTCAGACTTTGGAACGCACTTCCCATTAGGGCGCGTTCCTACCATGTCGTGACGACAGATTGTCGTACAGTGTCGTGGCTTGTATATTTAAATGAAGTTGTTCACTTATAGCACGACACGATTAACTGTCGTTCACGATTTTTTATCGTTACAACGACAAACTGTCGTCACAATGGGAACAGCTAGAACGACAGTCGTCGGACGATAAAAACGTGACGACAGATTGTCGCAGCTCCTGTTGTCGTCACATTTTATTTATCGCTGTCCGCACATATTCCGCTCCCTGCCCTCCCCTGTCGTACCCCGCGCCCTCTGCTCGCTTTGCAGTAGCGTTGGGTCGTAGCCAGAGATGGGCAAGGAGGCTGTCGTGAAACGATGAATTGTCGTCACGATCTAGTGGGAACAGCTAGTCACGACAGTCGTTCAACGATAAAAAATCGTCCAAGACAGATAGTCGTGATATGGGAACAGGCTAGACACGACAATCGTCCAACGATAATAAAACGTGACGACTTAGTGGAAACGCGCCCTTACTGTTCATGATAGTAAATCCGTAACAATTTTCAAAATGAAAGTTAAGGAGCACTATTTATCGACTGTTCTATCCATTTTATAGGTATTATTACGAAATATGTATTTATCTTAAGTACTCATTATAAGTATCTAAGTACGTTATACTACTTATTATAAGTTTTAATAATTTAATATTCTTCATATTGTTTTTTTTATTACAAAATTGTTGTTTTGTTGAGCACGAAAACCCGTTATTATAATTATTGTCTCCTGTATTTAGGTCTGCGGGAAGAAATTTCTGTTACATATAAGCAGTACCTTTTCTTTGTGTTTTCCGTGTTACTACCTTTTCTTTGTGTTTTCCGTGTTACTAAATGTGTTTTTGTTTTTTCTGTACAATAAATGATTGAATCTCTATCTATTCAGTACATATAATTCTATTCAGTACATATAAATACATAGTCTCACGTAGAAAAAAGGCGTGATTTTAATAGCAGTAGAATTACTGCCACCTTACATATTTCTGCCGCCATGCAGTAATGTCTGCGTTACCGTGCTTCGATTTTGAAGGGTAAGGGTGCTGGTGAAATTACTGGCACATAGGATTTGTCAACTTATGTCTCACGGGCGCAGAGGCGGTGCCCTTCAAAACTTTATGATTATTGCTCTGAGTGGTACTGCAACTATTACGGACAGGAGCTTACCACTAGCTTACCACCAGGCGCTAGACTTGTTCATCCTGTCCCTTGGTATCTTAAAAAAAAAGATTTGGTTGGTAGAGGGACTCGACTAGGTTGGATGTGCTGTGGTCAGCCATCTTGTGTTTAAGTGAGCCAGTGTTATGAAATGCTGTTACATATAGCACTGCTATTACAATATTGTTGTAACTCAAAATATGTGACATTAAAGATTATAATATTGCTGAACGTAAAATTTGATTCTCTACACGTCAATAAAATCGTCCTTTAAATATTGTAAGAAACAATTAAAATAAATCTACTTAATTCAAAATGAGACAAACTTTTTGCGAACTAGTTCTAGATAAAATAGTCTTAATAAATAAGTTTCTAAAAAATATTAAGTTATTTTTTCCTTTTATTTGGCAAGTAGGAAATTGTTTAAATGTCTGTAATAAATAAAGTTTAACCTATATATTACAGACATTTAAACAATTTCCTACTATACATACTATACTAATAATATTTCGCTGCAAGTAATTTGTTTTTCATCGATTCTCCAAAAATACACTTTTTGAGTTAATACACTATTGTATTAACAGTGGGATATGTTGAATGACAAAGGTTCTCTACACTTACGAAGGAATACTGCATTGTGTATTATTATTAACAGCTCAGAATAGACAGAATAGGAAATAGTGCAAAAACTATGCACTCCTCGTTGATATCCTGTCGAGTTCAGTGATGGCTAGTGTGTTCGTATGTGATACATGAACAAAAACGATAATTAAATACTCGTGGACACATCATTTTCAGTATTAATTGTCCTCAGTTTGAAAAATGTTTAATTTATCAAAAACTATATTATGCAATAGTTTGTTATAATTATTAATACAAAGGTCGGACACTCAGAAAAAATTCCTTCGATCCGGTCGGATTCGAACCGAGGTCTTCTTGCATACCGTGGCAGGCGCTATACCAACTAAGCCACGGAACAAAAAAACGGACCTCACGAATTTTTCTATGTGCTTGCGTCGTGTCTTTGTATTTGGTTTTTCAACGACTTTTTAATCGTAGCGCCATCTATGAGAAATCTATGAAAGATTTATCACCCAGTTAGTACCGTTACAGCTACCAGTCCTGTCGAGAGATGTCGCTGTTCACTGTATTAATTAAATTTTTATTGAATTGATATTCAATTATTTTTTGTGAAATTACTCCACTAGTTTGTTATAATTATTAATACAAAGATGAACACTCAGAAGAAATTCCTTCGATCCGGTCGGATTCGAACC